TTGAGTAAGATGTCCAGAAACCTCATGTGGAAGAGGAGAACTGACTCCTACAGGTTGTCCTTAGACCTCCACACATGCGCTGTGGCACACATGTTCATACACACACACACACACACGCACACACACACACACACACACACACACACATACACACACACAATGATAAATACCTGTAAAAATAAAAACAATGTCACCATGATTTGACTTGGGCAGGTGAAGCCCCAAGTAACTGCTCAGGGCTATTATTGACACTACTTTCCACTGTTCAAATCTAAGTAGTTGAAGGCATTGATACTGGATATTGTGAGCATCTAGTTGGTTCATAGTGTAGTAAAACCAAACCAGCTTTTTCTCTCCAGTTTGATTTTTTTCCTTCTTCCAGAGACTCCATTTTCAAATCTTATGTCCCCCCTTTTTGTGTCTTTGTTCTTTTTTTCTTCTAGTCCAGCATTCACTGTTCTGTTGATCAGTCTCCCAACATCTTTATGAATAGGGTCCCAGAAAGATTCAAGAGTTGCTTTCTCAGCGCTGAGGAAACCTATGGCAGCCCCAAGATGGTGGCTGTTTCCAGTGGGCTCAGGTTACAGTGACTGAGACATATAGCCCGTGTCTCTATTGAGAACACATACATCCAGGCACCCACTGACCCTCCCAGATGGGAAAAGAACTGTTGTTTTACCAATAATACAGAGCACCTCATGATATCAGAAGATACAGGACAAGGAACTTGATTTCACCTGTATACACCATATCCAGAAAACAATGACCATTAATCAGCTCTGAAATCTCTAATCTCCTTTTTTTGTCCCTTCAGGGAATTAGAGCCAGAAGACAAGCAGGTTAAATGTATATCTTGCCTCCAACTCTTCCCATGGCATCCTCTAGAAGCATCTCCCCATGGGCAGGAGGCTTTGTAACCTCCAAGGATGTCTGGTATGGAAGCTGTTGCCGTCTTTCTTTAGGGTAGGAAAAAATCCGACACAAGCTGGTATGTAGTACAGATTAGTGTTTTGGGTTTTGGTTTGTTGTTGTTTTTGAAACAGCCTTAGCTGGTCTGAAACTCACTATGTAGACTAGGGTAACCTTAATCTCACAAAGATCTACCTGCCTCTGCCTCATAAGGGCTAGGAATAGAGTGTGCACAGCCTTTTTAAGACATGGCCTTAATATGCAGCCCTGGCTGGCTTGGAACTTGTCATGATCTTCCAGACCCTGACTCCCAAGTGCTGGGAGTGCCACCAGGCCCAACTTAGCCTTTTCTTCTTGGTTGTTAATTTAGGAGATGGGCTTCTATTATAGAAAGATGTGGTAGCACACACCTTTAGTTCCAGCACTTGGGAGGCAGAGGCAGGTGGATCTCTGTGAGCTCAAGGCCAGCCTGATCTACATAGTGAGTTCCAGGCCAGCTGGAGCTACAGAGAGACCCTGTCTAAAAAAAGACCAAAAAACAACAACAAAAAAAAAGAATGTACCCTAAAGGTTCAAGTATTTGAACACATGGTCCCCAGTTAGTTGTACTATTTGGGGAGGTTGTGTGTTGCTGATATGGTAGGAAGTTCAGGGCCAAATGAAAAAAAGTTTCTATGCAATTGTGTGTCAGGAACAAGCCCTTCTTTTCAGCACTTAATCCAAAGGAGAGTTAAGAACTCTTATTCAGGGACTGGAGAGATGGCTCAGCGGTTAAGAACACCGGCTGTTTTTGCAGAAGACCCAGGTTCAAATCCCAGCACCCACATGGCAGCTAACAACTGTCCATAATCCAGTTCCAGGGGATTTGACAGGCCCTCTGTCCTCCATGAGCATTGCATGACACAGGTGCACTTACCTACATGCAGGCAATACACACATATACATAAAATGAAAATAATAAATAATTTAAAAAAAGAACTCTTATTCAATTACATCTTCTTCAATATCTTTCATTACATGACCAGAAAGCTTTTCTTTCTTTTTAAAAAATATTTTATTTGTTCTTTTTATGTGTATGAGTGTATTGCCTGCATGTGAGTGCACCCATGTCGTGCAATGCTGCGGAGGTCAGAAGAGGGGTTCGGATTCTCCTGGAACTGGAGTTAAAGACAGTTCATAGCCACCATGTGGGTGCTGGGAATCAAACCCAGGTCCTCTGCAAGAGTAGTCAGTGCTCTTAACCAGTGAGCCATCTCTCCAGCCCCCAGAAAGCTTTTCATCTAAAATAAAGTTTAATCATATAATTAGTTGTCTCCTTAATGTTGTTATAAAGTTTGACTTGTATAGTTTTAAAAATACTTCTTTTGTGTGTGTATGTGTATATATATATATATATATATTTATTTATTTATTTATTTTATTTTTTTAGACAGGGTTTCACTGTGTAGCCCTGGCTCTCTGGAACTTGCTATGCAGACCACTAGGCTGGCCTGGAACTCACAGAGATCCACCTGTCTCTGCCTCCTTAGTGCTGGGATTAAAGGCATGAGCTACCACGCCCAGTTTCCCAGCTGACCTGAACTCACTACGTAGACCAGGCTGGTCTTGAACTCACAAGGATCCACCTGCCTCTGCCTCCGAAGTGCTGGGATTAAAGGAGTGCGCCACCTTGCCTGGCTATATTCTAAAGATATTTTAAAAAATTTTAAACTTAACACAAAAATTCAATAAAAATGTATAATTTTAAAAAGATTTATGTGTATGTGGAGGTATGCCACATGTGCAGAGGCCTGAAGAGGAGATGGTGTGACAGGCAGTTGTGAGCTGCCCAACTTGGTTACTGGGAACTGAACTCTGGTCCTCTGGAAGAAGAGGAAGTGCTCTTAACCACCGAACCCGGTCCAGTCCCCTCCAAAGGTATTTTATAAAGTTATTCTTCCCTTAAGTCAAAGCCATAGAAACACAAGGCCATATTTTTATGATAAAATATGTGCCCAAATGACTATGAATAAATGCTGTGGCACTAGTAATATACTCTGGAAATGAACTGTTAAAGCACACGCCTGCATTGATCTTATCAATACAATGTATCTTCTAAAATCACTTTTTTTCCCAGTTATAATAACAAACAACAATATCTAAATCCCAAATACCACTGATTTCATACTAGTAAGGAGGAATGAAGAGCTATTCATTTTTTGCCTTCAAATGTTTTGTCTTTTAAATTGTGTGTGTATATATCTGTGCTCATGTGCGTGCATGCAGAGGCCAGAGGGCAGCATTGTGTGTCTTCTTTGATCACTCACTCTCCACTTTATACTTTGATTCAGGGTCTCTCACTAGGACCTGGTGCTAACCCATTTGACTAAACTGGGTGACCAGCAAGCGCCAGGGATCCTCCTGTCTCTGACTGAAATAATAAAGTTTTGGGGTTACAGGTGCATGCTGCTAAGCCTGGCTTTTTACATGTGTGCTGGGGATCAGAGCACAGTCCTCAAGTTTGAGTAGCGAGTACTTTACTCCTTGAATGGTGTTTTTAGTTATGAGTGTTTACTAAAAGATCAAATAGTTGCTTTCAGGGCTGGAGAGATGACTAAGAGGTTAAGAGCACGGCTGTTCTTGCAGAAGACACAGGTTCGAATCCCAGCACCCACGTGACAGCTATCAATCGTCCTGTAACTCCAGTTCCAGGGGATTTGATGGCCTCTTCTGTCCTCCACAGGCGCTGCATGATACAGGCACATTTACATACACACAGGCTTAACACTCATACACACAAAATTTTTTTAAAAGATAGCTGCTTTTTGGGCATGGTGGCCCACACCTTAAATCCCAGCATTTGAGAGGCAGAAGCAGGTGATGTCTGTGAGTCTGAGGCCAGCCTGGTCTAAATAGTGAGTTCCAGGCCAGCTGGGCTACAGGGAGACTCTATCTCAAAAAACCCAAATTAATCAATTAATTAAAAAATAAAAATAGCTGCTTTCTTCTCTGACCCTTTTGCATATATATTTTTTTTCTTTTTGAGGACAGGGTGTCCCTGGAGCTGCAGCTGGCCTGGAACTCACAGAGATCCACCTGCCTCTGCTTCTGAGTGCTGAGATTAAAGGTGTGTGCCACCACACCTGGCATAAAATTGTATAAAAGTGAATTTTTTTCCCCCCTGTCTGCTTTATCCTAGAAGTCTATATAAGGCAGTCTTTGGTCCAGAGAATGTTAGGGCTAATTCCTGGAAATTTCAAAAAAGCTGTTTTCTACAAAGATTCTGTAATAGGCTCTAGCTCTGTTCCAACGATTGCAGTATCCTGTGATCTGTCATAGAGATTCATTTGGGGACACTTCCTATTGTACCTATTCCAGAAGTCTCCTGGGTTGTTGGTCAGCATGCAACTTGTGACACCACCACACCACCCACACACTCCTGTCCCATGTAGATGCTCTTCAAGTGGATGCCCTTCTAGGTCAGGCTACCAGAGGGGATAGGCCAATGGAAATGTGTGCTGAACCCTGGCTTGGCCATGATCCCAACACCAACCTCTCTGTCTCAGCTCTCCATTTATCTAACACTTAACAACAACGGCACCCACAGCATCTGTGCTGTCTGAAATGAAAGTAGACACCATGTGTGTTGGGACAGTGCCCAGGCTACTCTAAGTCCTCTATAAATGTTAGCTGGTATGTATGTATGAAAATATAGTAAATTTAATCTGAAGTTAATGGCAGTGTTTGTGTGTGTGCACATGTGCACACACGTACATGTGTGTGCGTGTGAGCATGCGTGAACTTGAGGAAGCTGAGGACAACCTTAAGCGTCACTCCTCAGGGTCCATCCACCTTGTTTTTTGAGATTGGATCCCTCACTGGTCCAGGGCTTGCTGATTACAATAGGTGGCTGGCTAGTGATTGCCTGTCTCTACCTCTCCAGAGCCGGGATTACAAACATATACCACTGTGCCCCTAGCTTTTTTTTGATTTTTCAATGTGGGTTCTGGGGATCAAACTCAGGTCCTTGTACTTGCACAGGCAACATGTTATCAACTGAGCTATGACCACATCCCATGGCAGTGTTATAAAGGACAGAAAACTGATGCTTTAAAATCTGAATTAGACAGTTTGTATTCTAAAGCACGCACAAATCTGTACCAATTAAATACAATATAGTTGAAAGGGGATATAAATTACAGTTTTTTGTTGTTGTTTTAAAACAGACGATGGTAAATACTACAGTCAGCTCACTATACACACAAATCATGAACAGCAGCTTTTCAATAAAATCTCCAACATCTCACTCACTGATGCTAAGAACTTGAAAAGGTACATCAGGCTGCATACAAGCTCTCTCGCTTTCTCTCACAACACACATGAAGCTGTACAGAGAGGTCAATTGTACAGGCATCTACAGAACAGGTACATAAAATACTTTTGTAAAAATCCCACACATAATTCTACACTGTCTCTGCTCGGAGAGCTTTGCAAATGAAGAAATGAAACGACGTGCTCTGTATTCAGTTCCCTCAAAGAAGGTGATGTGTGAACCTGTGAACTGTGTAGCTCAGCCCATCTCTTTAGCATTCTTCAGAATCAAGCGAAACAGCAAAACCACACCACCACAAAAAACTACCCATCAGAAAGGAACCCATAAAGAACCCCCAAATCAAGACTCTTTCCCCCAGCACCCCACCTCCCGGTACTCTGTTGTATTTGGTTATTGTAATACTGCCCTGTTCACTCCACTAGCTTGGATGAGCTGAACAGGTTATGGGAAATGCTGGGCTGGAGTTGGAGCCCCAGGCATTGTCAATGGTCAAGGTCAAGTCAGCAGGTGTCAGGCCAGGTGGAAGACCGAAGGTTATGGATGGCTGTGAGATTTCTCAGTGTGCTTAGGGAATGGGACAGAGAATGGCAGCACGTGGCTTGGTGGCCGAGGGCAGCATGGCACCAGACTTACAGTCAGATATAGACGCTCACACACAATAAGAGTGACAGTAAAAATGTTCAGTCTTGTGGAAGTTCTTTGGTTATAAAGAACAGCGTCTGTAACCTTTCCTGTACAGAGGGATTTGGAACCTCATTCTTAGGTGATAAAAGAGCTTTTCATCTGTTCATGTAAAAGCTATCACCCAAGTTGCTTTGTAACGAAGTCCAGTACCTTGTGATTTTGGACAAATCACTTATCTGCATTTTAGTGTGCAGCCTTGTCTGCCTCTAAATAGACATACTATAGATACACAATTCATATACATAATATATATTATTTATATAAAAATCAGAGCATTGACTCGAGAGTCGACAGTAAGAATTGATGAAAATTGTACAAGAACAAAGTTTGTTAGAGTCTGTGGAGGTCTCTACACGGTGGGGACGTGTAGGAAGTGCAAACGAAAATACTGTCAGTCAAGCCAGGATTGCAGTTCTCTTGTTTTCTGGAAAGAGCAGGGGCTGTGATTCACCCATGTGACAAAGTGCTGCTTCTCCCACTGGGGAAGGGAAGTGCAGGGCGCCCCCCATGCTGGTCTGAGGTCAGGCTGGATTGCAGTTGTCTGAAGACGCAGGTGCTTTCCCAGGGTGACCAGTGAATAGAGCTGCCAAGCTGGGTCCAGCAGACACCTGATGCCGCCTACCGTGTGGCTGTGGCTCCCTGGAATACAGAAGCTGTTGAATGCAAACCCCTAGTCCCCAGCTTCCCACCTCCACACATGGCCCACCCTCAAAGCAGCTTTCTGAAGGCTTAAGCCAGACTGTATTATAGAAAACAGTTCTAGAATTCGGTGTGCAAGGGAGATACCTGTCCCAGGGGAGGCGTCTGTAGAAAGAGATCCATGTTCTGAATAATTTCAGGACTAAAACTAAAAAATTTTACAAAGAAAGTTCTCAGACTTTTGCTTTCCTAGGAAAGCAATTAAACCTAGGACCTTATGCATGCTAGCTAAGTGAGTTATATCCTCAAGCCCTTCAAATAAATATATATGTATATTTTTTTACCGTATATGTACATTTGAGGTGTGTGTGTGTGTGTGTGTGTGTGTGTGTGTGTGTGTAGGCCAGAGGACATCGAGTGTCCTGCTCTATCATCTGTCACCTCATTCCCTTGACACAGTCTCTCTGAACCCAGAGGTCAGCATTTTGGTGGCTGCCAGGATCTGCCACTCTCTATGCCCTAATGCTGGGGTTATAGGCACATGTGGCCATGCCTATGTGTGTGCTGGTGCTCACAATTGCACAGCAAGTGCTTTTTCCTTTAAGCCATCCCCCAGACCTCAACTAACTTTAAAAAATTTTTTTTATTTATTATTTTTATCCTATGTGTATGTGTGTATTGCGTGCATGTAGGTAAGTGCGCCTGTGTCATGCAATGCCTGTGGAGAACAGTAGAGGCTGACAGATCCCCTGGAACTGGAGTTACAGACAGCTACTAGCTGCCATGTGGGTGCTGGGATTTGAACCTGGGACTTCTGCAAGAACAACCAGTGTTCTCAACCGCTGAGCCACCTCTCCAGCCCTCAAGTAACTTTTTTTTAAAAAACATATTTTATTTCTTATTTTTATTTTATGTGTATGGGTGTATTGCCTGCATGTCCTTGGAACTGGAGTTAAGGGACAGCTCGTAGCCGCCATGTGGGTGCTGGGAATTGAACCTGAGTCATCTGCAAGAGCAGTCAGTGCTCTTAACCACTGAGCCATCTCTCCAGCCCCTCGAGTAACTTTTATACTAGCAAAACAACATTAAAATCAATATATAGACTGGGAGCATTGCTCCTGAGCAGAGCAGCTGCCTAGCATGGAACTGGAGTTAAGGGACAGCTCGTAGCCGCCATGTGGGTGCTGGGAATTGAACCTGAGTCATCTGCAAGAGCAGTCAGTGCTCTTAACCACTGAGCCATCTCTCCAGCCCCTCGAGTAACTTTTATACTAGCAAAACAACATTAAAATCAATATATAGACTGGGAGCATTGCTCCTGAGCAGAGCAGCTGCCTAGCATTCAAAAAGCCCTGGGTCTGATTCCCAGCACTGCAAATATAGCAAACCTGAAAAACTGAAATATTAATGCAAAATTGTTTTTGTACATGTGTGTTGTATGCATATGCACATGTGTGAGGGTGTCCATGTGTGCAGGTGTGTGCTACACAGTGAGACCCTGTCTCAAAATTAATACCAGAAACAAAACAAAAAAATCACAAACCCAAAACCCAACCTCCAAAACAGAAAAGCAAACACAAACCAAACCAAACCAAGCGGAATGGGAAAGGGGAGAGATGGTGGTACTTCAAAATAGAGGGTTTAGAAGCTGGAAATATCTCATTTACTTTTTGTCAGTGAAATCTTTTTTTTTTTTTTTTGGTTTTTTTGAGACGGGGGCTCCCTGTAGCCCTAGCTGTCCTGGAACTCACTATGCAGACCAGGCTGGCCTTGAACTCACAGAGATCCGCCTGCCTCTGCCTCCCGAGTGCTGGGATTAAAGGCGTGTGCCACCACGCCACCACATCCAGCTATGAAATCTATTTTGAAGATTAATATTGTAAACCATCCTGGGTCACATCCAAAGTCCAATTGCTCCTGAAACCTGCTGCTGCTGATGCACTTTTCCACTCATGGGCACCAAGTTGATATATATAAAATCGATTCTACACTGTTAGGTTTTTTTCTCCTAATATTTTAATATTTCTGAAATATCTGTTTCCTATAGTTACTGATAATTTTTTGTGGTGCTAGAGATACAACCCAAAGCCTTGAATGTGCTAGGCAAGCATTTTACCTTTGAGCTACACATCCAGCCCACCCCTCTGTGTGTGTCCGTGTCCGTGTCCGTGTGTGTGTGTGTGTGTGTGTGTGTCCGTGTGTCTGTGTATGGGTGTGTGTGTTTGTGTTGTGTGTGTGTGTGCCTGCATACCTGTGGTCAATGTCAAGTGTTCTCTCTGTTGCTCTCCACCTTATTTTTTGAGATAGGATCTGAATGTGAAGCTTACCATTTCTTCTAGTCGGGCTACCCAGGAAGCCCTGAGATCTGTCTGTCTCTGTCCTACCTCCCTGTCCAGAGCTAGGGTTACAGATGAGCAACACCATGATTAGCTTTTATGTAGGTGCTACGGATCCAAACTGGGGTTCTCATGTTTGCACAGCAAGAATTTTACCCACTGGGCCATCTCCCTAGTCCTATTTTTAATTTCTAAAAAATATTATGGTCTGTTTACTATTGCTAATTTGATCCTTTTTAAGTGTTCTATTATTTTTGTTTTATGTGCAAGAACATATTGCCTGCATATGTTAAGTGCACTGTGTCGTGCAGTGCCCTCGGAGGTCAGAAGAGGACGTTAAATCCTCTGGAAATGGAGTTACAGATGGCTGTTAGCCTCCATGTGGGTGCTGGGAACCGAACCTGCGTCCTCTGCAGCAGCAGCCAGTGCCCTTAACCACTGGGCCATCTCTCTAGTCCCTGTTTATCTTTTCTTAATGATAGAAAACTAATGAAGAATATGGTAATCAAAGGAAGCATAGATCTGATGAAATAGGTAGATGCTACCAGATTACTTTGGGCTAGCCAACAGGGAGCAAACCCAAAGATTAGCTGATCCTTATCCATCAGAGTACTGAATCCAACATCAACCCATCTGCCTGTCTGTTAAAACATCCTCGCTTCCGCTCTGGCTCCTAAAGCAGAGCTGTTCTCTCACAGCTAGCGAGCAGAACAGGTTGAGCTTGCTACCTACAGAACCCCTCTTCCTTTCCATAAATATCTGAATGAGGCTTTCCTACAAAGGTCACAGTGGTGAGGGACTTCTTCGGGCTGGTGTCCAGTTAGTTGTGCTCACTGAGACTGCCTCTGGGAATGATTACCTGGTCATTCTCTAGCTTGGAATGCAGCTGATCAACTCCGGGTCCATCCGGGACACTCTTACAGCCTGCTTGATTTGGTAGATCCCTCCTGGAGGGCTCTCCAATGGAACAGTCTGTCAAACCATCGAAGTCTTTGCCATCTGACACACCCATGAACTCTGTGAAGAAGTGGTCCTCCAGGATGTTGGTGATGTGCTCTACTGTCACTTCTCCTGGGCAGAACTCTCTGACTGGTTGGCCTTTCCTGCTGGGGCCAGCATCCAGTTCTGAACATGAAACTGTCCTGCATGGCATTCTGGAGTTTCTCTCAGGGATGCTCTGGGGTGATGGGCTCCCTTTGGGTAAGGCACTGTTTTCTCGGAGTGGCACGGTGAATACCTGATCTCTCCCTAAGCCTCTTTCTACTTCTGCTGGCTCTTTGTTTGAAGATGGTCTGAAGTCAGGTGCAAGAGACGGTCCAGAATGCTCACTGCAGTCAGCCTCCTTCATCGGTGTGGCGAGCTGGTCTGAGCTGTCGCTGGAGGGAACTGCCATGTCAGACAGAGTGGCGTTGGACGCACTGTGGGAGAAGTAGCCACTGGTAATACTGCTGGTGGTAGGGCTACGAGACACCTCCTTCTCCAAGACCCGGGAGTTTGTCAGATCTGCTTTAGAAGAAAGCCACTCCCGGCTCTCCAAGCTGGCATTGTAAACACTGAAGTCAGCAAACTCCACAGGTACATAAGGCTGTGAACTCATCATCTTCCTGTTCATGGCTTCCAGCTCACTTTCCTCCTCTTCAGAGTCCTAAGAAAGGAAGTCAGGGCCAGTCATTAGCTCCTTACAGCAGCTGATGGAGACACACTCTAAACACCTACTAGTGATGGCATTCCTGTTCCCATGCTCCCTCCCTCTTCCCTCACTGTTTTTACATGTAGTCCAGGCTGGCCTTGAACACCTGCTCTTTTTGCCTCTACCTTCCATATGCTGAGAATATAGGTGTGTCTTACCACACCTATCCACCCTTTCCTTCCTTCCTTCCTTCCTTCCTTCCTTCCTTCCTTCCTTCCTTCCTTCCTTCCTTCCTTCCTTCCTTTCCCCCTTTTTTTTGAATTAGGGTCTTACTATGTAGCACTGGCTAGCCTGGAACTCACTATGTAGATAAGGCTGGCCCCATCCTGTTTCTGTCTCCCAAGTACTGGAATTAAAGACATGCACCACCACACCTGCTCTGTCTTTCCTTTTTTAAAAAATATTTTATTTATAGCTGGGCATGGTGGCACACGCCTGTAGTCCCAGCACTTGGGAGGCAGAGGCAGGCGGATCTCTGTGAGTTCAAGGCCTGCCTGGTCTACATAGTGAGTTCCAGGCCAGCTGGGGCCACAGGGAGACCCTGTCTCAAGAAGACCCAAAAAAATTTTTTTATTTATTATATTTATTTTATGTGTACGAGTGTATTGCCTAGATGTATGTAAGTGCACTCGTGTCCTGCAATGCCCACAGAGCTCAGAAGAGGCTGTTGGATCCTCTGGAACTGGAGTTACGAATGGTTGTTAGCTGCCATATGGGTGCTGGGAAATTGAACCTGGGTCCTCGGCAAGAGCAGCCAGTGCTCTTAACCACTGAGCCAACTCTCCAGCCCCAGTTCTGTCTTTCTTAAGTTTGGTTAAATCTTGTCATCTATTGTAGACACACGTATATTATTCTCAGAGACTTGTGATTATAAACCTATTGCTGCCTAATAGGAAAGCATTTATTTCTTTTGTGTTCCCTCAATACCCATTAGAAGGCTGTCTACCCCTGGTTTAAAAAAAAGAAAGACATTGAAGGGAGGTGGGCTTTTCATTGATTATTCAATTCCTGTCAGCAGAGACATCTTTTGTTTTCTCAGCTGGAGAGCAGAGCATGGCCTGCCTGGGCTGGAAGATGCTGCTGTGTTCCGTCTTACACGCTTTGCTTTGGGAAGCCAAGTATAGGAGATCAGGGTCTTTTGTGAAAGTGCCTAACTAATTTATGAGGATGGTAAGAAGACCCCAGCAGCAGAAGGATAATGAACAGGACCAGTATTTCAGGAAATACTCTAACATTAAAAAATGCTAATTGTCTCGTTTCCTAGAAAACAAGGAAGGCAGAGATGAGTATAAAGAGAATTCTCCAGCATTAGGTAGCTTGGGAACTTTGTAAAGGTTGATAAATATGCAAAAGTGGGTCTTAATCTCTGCCAAGCAATGGATATACTTATTTTATTTTAGAAATTATTTAAAAATATTGAAAATTTAAAAAAATTTTCAAGGATTATTTATTTTTATTTTATGTGCATGAGTATTTTGGCTGCATGTTACGTAAATATACCTACGCATGCAATGCCATGGCAGTCAGAAGAGGGTCTCAGATCCCCTGGAACTGGAGTTACAGATGGTTGTTAGCCATCATGTGGGTGCTGGGAACCACACTCAGGTCCTCTGCAAAAGCAGCCAGTGCTCTTAATCACTGAGCCATCTTTTAGAGTTTAAGTCCAGCCTAGGCTATATGAGATTCTCTCTCTGTCTCTCTCTCTATCACTTTAAAAAATAATTTAATTTTTGAATAGCTTTAAAACTGTAACTGAGGACTGGAGTTGCACTCAATGATGCATGCTTAGGACATGAAGGCCCTGGGTTCAATCCTCAGAACTGTTCTCCCCCGAAAAAGTGAAGCTGAGTGTGGTGGCACACGCCTTTAACCCCAGCACTTGGGAGGCAGAGGCAGGAGGATCTCCGTGAGACGGAGGCCAGTCTGGTCTACAAAGTGAGTTCCAGGTCAGCTGGAGCTATAGGGAGACCCTGTCTCAACAAAACAAAACAAAACAACAAAACAAAACAAAACAAAACAGGTGAATATAAATTAGTTGAAGAAATTAGCAATCTTAATTCCTTTGCTACTTCAAGGTAAATATGAAACAACAGTGAAAAAGTTTCTGAAGTCAAACAAAAACTTTAGAAAACCCACCGTGCTTTTACATCTTTACCTTTTAAAATTAAATAGCTGGTTTTTTTTTTGTTTGTTTTGTTTTTTTAAAGTGGGTTGAGTTAGGTGGCTCCATGAGTAAAGGTGGTAACAGCCAAGCCTGATGACTTGAGTTTGATCCCTGGGTCTTTCATGGTGGAAGGAGAAAACCAAGTCCAAGTTGTCCTCTGACCTCTATACATGCACCATGGCATGGGTACACACACATGTGCATGCATGCATGCATGCGTGCATAAATAAATAAATAAATAAATGCAATAAAAGTGTTTTTTTGTTTTTTCTTTTAAGTCGATGGGGGCTGGGAGGCATATACTCAAGGCTCTGGGTTCCATCCTAGTCCCAGAAAACACTCAAATCTCGGGAGGGGTGATGGCTTAGCAGCTATGAGTACTGGCTGCTCTTGCAGAGGAATAGGTTTGGTTCCCAGTACCCACATGGTGGCTAACAACCATCTTTAACTCCAGTTCAAGGGGGTTCAACTTTCTCTTCTGGCTCCGGTACACACACCGTACACTCGCATACATGCAGGCAAAACACTCATACAAATAAGTGAATGAATAAATAAATAAACAAATAATCAAACCAAACAAAGCAGTGGATGGCAGTGGATGGGCTGGACTGTTCCTTCCCTGGGCTGAGATGCTGGTAAAGGAGCTGAGACTAGACAAAACGGTCTCGATCAGTGGCCTTTTCCTGTAGTTTTAGATTTACTAGTCATCATATTTAGGCTAAAAATCAAATTTCAAGTGTTCATACTCCTTATATTTCTTTTTTATTTAAGGTAGCAAACATAACATTGCTTTCCTAGCCCAAGAGTACTGGACACAATTAGTTATTTTTTAAAAATTGTTGCAAGGAAAGCAATTTTGCAGATGAGAATTAGTGGTCCAGGCCTTCTGTCTTTCTAGAATATTTCTTGCTGAATGAGATAAGCCGATGTGATGTGAGTTGAATACGGAGAAATAGGTAGGAACGTACCAAAATGGACTTAGAAAACCGGAAGGATCTATGAACTTTGGGAGATGAGGCTAACATGGGCAGAGACACAGCACTTAGGGAGGGGAAATGACCAGCACTCCCAAGTGGAAAGCCAGGGGCATAGCTAGAAAAAACTCGAGATATTAAATATTTTCTAACATTAAAAACAGACAAAGTTTATTGAAGTACTGCCTTCAAGGAGGGATAAAAAAGGAGGGTTTTGATGGCTTAAAATGTGTGAAGGGAGTTTAGTATTTTTATTTATTATGATTATTTTTGGTCTTTTTGAGACAGGGTGTCCCTATAGGCACAGCTGGCCTAGAACTCACTATGTAGACCAGGCTAGCCTTAAACTCAACAGAGATTCACCTGCTTCTGCCTCCTGAGTGCTGGGATTAAAGATGTGCGCCACCATCCTGGCTGGAGAGATGGCTCAGTGGTTAAGAGCACTGACTGCTCTTGCAGAGGACCCAGGTTTGATTCCTAGCACCCACATGGCAGCTACGAACTGTCCTTGACTCCTGTTCTAGGGGAATTTGAAGCCCTCTTCTGACCTCTGAGGCATTGCATGACATGGGTACACTCACATACATGCAGGCAATACATTCATACACATAAAATAAAATATTAAAAACAAAAGATGTGCGCCACCACATCTGGCATTTATTACTAAATCTTACAAGGACACTGAACTGAGCACCTTCTTCCAAATGTGTTAAGGGCAGAGAGTTAAAATCAGACCTGAAAGTGGGTCACAAGGCAAATCTCAAGTTTCTCTATAGCTGTCCTCTTCATGATTTGATTTTTTTTCAATTTAGCTTACTCAGGTCTGTTTACTTATAGACTGAACACTGCGCTTTAAGAACAAAGACTAAAGCCCATTATCAAAGCAGTGACTCTCTGCAGAAGTTTTTGTCAATGAATGTGATTTCCATTCCCACTGCAATCAGGTCATGGTGGGTTACCAGGATGGCCTATGTTCGGGGCTGTGACTGCCAGGGCTCCCAGCACTTCCGGGCACAGTCTTAGGGGCTGGGAAGCACTTGGAGTCACTGGCAGGTATTCAGTTTCCTGTTTGCAGTAACTGTGAAACCTGGGGCAAATTACTCACTAATTCTAGACTTTTGCTTCTTCAGTGGGGTAAGAGGAATAAGCCACATGTTGTCCATGCAAGACCAGAGTGGGGTGAGGGAATTGGGCTGGCTTTCTTATTGCTATTCTCTGTGTGTCATGACTTAGAAAGATGAAATCAAAGCTGGCCATGGTAGTGCACATCTGTAACCCCAGCTACCCAGGAGGCCGAAGCAAGAAGATTGCAAGTCTGAGGCCTGCCTGGGCTACACGGCAAGTTCAAAGTCTCGGTAATTCAGCAAGACCTTGTTTCAAAATAACAAAAACTAGGGACTGAAGAGATGGCTCAGCAGTTAACGGCACAGGCTGCTCTTGCAGAGGACCCAGATTTGATTCCCAGCACCCACATGGCTGCTAATAACTATCTATAACTCCAGTTCCAGGGGATCCATGCCCTCTTCTGGCCTCTGCAGATATTGCATAACATGGGTGTAGGCACAACACTCATACACATTAAAAAAAAAAAGCAACTGACAAATGGAATAAATTAGTGCAATAGCCTTAGAGACACAGTGTGCCCAGCAACTAGTTCTCTAAGGAGAGTAGAGTCAGATTTCTCAAGGCTGACCCTGGCAAGAAAAAGGCTATCATTTAACCCCGCTCAGCAACTGGACTTCATGGTGTATTTGGTCATGCACAGCCTAAGTGCTGCTGGAGATGTGTTGGATCAAGAGAACCTGGTTCCGTCCTACACCTTGCTCGCCAAGATGGACTTGGACTTTATTCTAAGCTCTTTACAGGAAAGCGAAGAAAGGAATTAAAAGCTGTGTTAACCATGCCACCATGCACTGGTGCCTCCAGAACGGGCATCTGACCATTGCTGGAGGGTGTTGGATGAGAACGAATCGTTTGTATCTACATATCCCAGGGATGAGAGTCATGTCAATGTATAGGCAGACTCAGTCAGAAGCAAAGAGAGATGATCTGAGGGGTCATCACAAGCCACCAGCCCTTTATCCCCACCCAGTGGGCATCCTTAACTGCACAGGGGATGATGATCTAAGTAGGGGATCGCTCATTAAGATTCGTGGAAGTGATGGAGCAGTTGCTGGCATGCACCCCCCTTTTCCATCAAAGTTAGGTGGACAACAAGAACTTAGAAATGGAAGGAGATGAGTTCTTCCCTGTGTTAAGTACAAGGAGTTACTTCTTAGACCCATTTGCAGCTCAGCATGCAGATGGGTGGCCAACTGCAGGTCCAGATGAAGATGCAGTTAGTGTTTGCACAGCAGCAGCACTAATGGATCTCACACTAATGCACCCATGAATGGATCTGACCCTGTTCAGCAGGGAATGAGACTCCCCACACTGCCCAACACAGATCATAGGCAGCAGTAAGCAGCCTCCTCTCGCCCCCGGCTGGTTTTGTTTTTTTAAGTTTCGGAAGCCACAGGAGTGTGAAAGGGAGACACAAAATCACAAAGTTCATTCCAGGCCTGCAAACTGAAAAATTTTAAATTTTTTAAAAATTGAGGTATAAAGTTGAAAGTACCTGGTGTACAATGAAAAATACCTCAAATGTATTATATAATTTCATTTATGATTTCTGAGACAGAGTCTCACTACACAGATCAGGCTGGCTTTGAACTTGTGATCCTCCTGTCATTGCCTCCCAAATGCTGGGATTACAGGTGTGCACTACTACCCCCAGCATTTGGAAGGTAGAATTTAAAAATCCATGCGGGAGGGAGGAATGCAGTGTTGCAGGTAGAGTTCCAACCAACTTGTGGGGAGATTCAGATGATTCACCCTAACAGCAAGGATGAGGGCAGTCAGGTCGGAATACATCTTGCCAGGTAATTAGCAATGCTACCTGAGCTGGGGGCGGGGCGGGGGGATCGATGACGATGGACAGCAGAGCTGCTACAAGCTACATGGCTGACTTGGCGGTAGCATCAGGCAACATGAAAAAGCTTTCGCATCTCCTCCAGCTAAGAGAAGGATTACTTACGCCAAGTAACTGCAATTCCTCTAGGTAGATTAACTTCAGAATCTGGACAATACGCATAGGCACATTAGAAAGATTTCAGTATTAGTTCAAGTGATCTTTTTGTCACGCTTTCCTTATAATGACCAGACTCAACAAAGGTGCCTCTTCCCCATTAGCTAAGGACACTTAAGACTACATGGAATTGAGCTTGAATTAGACAGAACGAACGCTTAGTAAAAATCACAGGGCAAGGCAACATTCATGCAAAAATCTCATTACCCAATCACGTTTCATTTTAAGAAGTCAAGATTCAACATGTGTTATAATTTCTCTGAAGGCATTCGGAAGACAGCTTGTGAAAGGGCTTTAAACCCACCACCAGGCAATATGACAGGAATGGTTTCAGAACTTACAATCTTCTTCTCACGTTTGCTACTGTGTTCTACTGGCATGCTGCTGCTATGGCTTCCTGAGGGTACAGTGCAGCCAGGGTTATGTGCCTGAGATGGAGACATGCTCTGTAAAGGTTAAGACACACAGATGCATCACACACAGAAGACGGTGACAGCCACAGTCCCTACTAAGTACATGCACGTTAGAAAAAAGCAACACTAACACTTTCATCACATGTGAGTAACGCAGTGGCCAATTTTGTGGGTTAAACTACTGGTGAAATATTACAGCACCACACACATTCTGTGGCAAGAAACATCATTAGTTTTCTCAGCAAACGAAAATGTAAAAGCCTTTGATGGTTTCAAAAATACCTATGGGCAAACTCTTCCTTACTTGAAAGATTTAAAAGCAACAAAAAGCCATTGATGCAAAGAAAACCACAGCAGTAAAAACCACCAGAATCTTCTACCATGGTCCTGTGTACTTGAGAAAGCAGTATCTGAGAATTGGATCCACACACTGATGTAATCCATGCATGTTTACACACAGCACCCAACAGAAGACTGCAAACCACTGTTCTCTGCAGACGACACCATTCCATGTTTTGCACAGTACACATAAGTCAAGCATTTACCTCTTGGCTGAGGAGAGGTCTTGCTTCGAGAGCTAGCGTTTTCTTATGTTCCTCTTTTACAGGCATTAGGGGTTTGAAAAACTTTGGCGGCTGAGGAGAGAATGCTTTAAAAGGGCTGACCGTTAAGGCATGAGGATTCTCCAACGGACAACCTGGGGAAGACAAAAAGGGCACAAGTTCACAGACAACAGAGCACTTTCACAGGTGCATAGGAGGCTTGGTTCCAAGCTTGGCGCAGCAGTGAGAGGTGACTGCATCATGAAGGCACCAGCCTCACCAATGGACTTCCACACTGATGAGTTCACAGACAAACAGGCCAAGATGGAGGAAGTACGTCACTGTAGGAGGGGTATGCCTTTGAAGGCTGTATCTTAACCCTCTGCCCCAAAGCAACAGAGCCAGCTGACCTTGGAGTGAGACCATGAACCAAAATAAATCCTTCTTCCTTTAAGTTGATGTTTCTCAGGTAGGACGTCACCGTGCTGGAAAGCTAACACTCCTGGCCATGGTAATATCTGATGTAACAGTGAAATTAATGTGCTAACATTTGGTTGGACATTCAACTAGACGGAAGCAAGAACAGAGCTAGTTGGATGGCGAGATGACTCAAGGGGTAAAAGTGCTTGCCACCAAGCCTGACACCATGAGTTTGAACCCCGTGACCCACATGGTGGAAAGAGAGCTGACTCCCCCCAAGTTGTCCTGTGACCTCCACATGTGCACTATAATGTGCACACTCACATACACACATCATGCACACATATACACAAAATAGATAAAATAAATGTAATTACAAATAAAAAAGAAAAAGGATAATCTATAAAGTCACAGCGTTTCTAGAGGGCTCATCAGTGAGACAGAATCACAAAGGAATTTTTTTACCCTCTTTTCAAACTCTAGCTCTAGTTCCACTTATTGGACCAAGTCCAGCTCAAGTCAACCTTTCACCTCTGAACTCCCAGAATCCTTATCGTCTGCACATATATTCTGACATTTATCACTGGATGTTCTATTTTTATATCTATTATTACTTCCATGCCTGTATCTTAAGATAGCAAACAGAAGCTCAGTGAATATACTCAGTGAATGATCACTATACAGATGTTCCCATCCGTCCCTTTTCCCTCAGGCCACCTGGCTCTATATGACTAAGCAAAGATAATTCTTTCTTGCTTGTTCTGATTTCTTATCTTGTTTGGCCCATTTCTCCTGTGTTCTTTTCCCAATTCTAACTACAGTGGAACTTGGTAGGAAAATATAAGATAGAAGGTGATAGCTGATTTACATTTCCATAGAATGCTGGTTTCCTCAAGGCCCTGGGAGACTGCATTTAGTTAATGATGCTCTCACTGATCCAATTCAGTTCTGCTATCATTTATTAACCTGCTTTGGTATCAGAGTCAGGTTTCCTTAGGCATTTCAGTGCAAAATGGTTACAGAGACAAATGTTCTTTTTGTTTGTTTGTTTTTGAGACAAGGTCCCACTATAGCCCCGACTGGCCAGCAATCTGCTATTAGCCCAGGCTGGCCTTGCTCTCAGAGAGAGCCACCAGCCTCTGCCTCCTAAGTGCTAGGATTAAAGGTGTGCACCACCATGCCTGGCTTACAGAGGTAAATATTCTTTTGATAAAGCAAAATAGACGGAGATTCACATGTGTGTCTCAAAGCCAGGTCAGAACACGATGTACTGAAAGTGATTTGGAGAATTAAAAATATGGGGGTATTTTTATGTGTATGTGTTTTGCCTGCATGTATGTAAGCGTACATATGTGTGCCATGCTGTTGGAGGCCAGAAGAGGGTGCTGGATTCCATGGAACTGTAGTTATGGATGGTTGGCCATCATGTGAGTGCTGGGAACTGAACCAAGGTCCTCTGAAAGAGCAGCAAGTACTCTTAACTACTGAGCCATTTCTTCAGTCCCTGATTTCAAGAATTTTAAGTAAGATACAGAAAGTGTTCTTTGGGCTAGGGAGGTAGCTCAGCACTAGAGTGTCTGACATTCATGAAGCCCTGGATTCAAACACACACACACACACACACACACACACACACACACACACACACACACGCACAATTATGTGTATATGCTGGATACAAAGCCAAGAGAAATCCAGTAAGTGAACATAATGTATTCTGGTTAAGAAAGGTTTTGGCTGGGCATGGTGGCGCACGCCTTTAAATCCCAGCACTTGGGAGGCAGAGGCAGGCGGATCCCTGTGAGTTCAAGGCCAGCCTGGTCTACATAGTGAGTTCCAGGACAGCTGGGGTTACAGGGAGGCCCTGTCTCAAAAAAAACCAAAAAAAAAAAAAAGGTTTTGATCATCTGCCTAAGCACAATTTCAGCTTCACGATCCATGAAAGACATCTTTGCAAACTGTTCCTAAGTAATTGAAAGAAATATCACTGAAAGCTGAAAGTAATCTCACCACTGCCTTCTTTGCTCCTCCGAGGCGAGTCCCTGGGTAAAGTTCCATAGCATGCGACATCTTGGTAACTGGAGCTGTGGTCACACACGTCTAACTGGTTCTCTGGCCAGCCCTGTGAGGTAAAAATATGGGTCAACTGCGATGGTATCACTCTAAATGGGAAAAGAAGCCCAGATCGCAGTTGGTTTTTTTAAAAGCCAGGGTCTTACTATGTAGCACTGGCTGGCCTAGAACTTGCTATATACCAGGCTGGCCTCAAACTCACAAAGATCTGCCTGCCCCTGCCCCCTGGGATTAAAGGAGTAAACCACCATGCACATGTTTTTATTTTTAAATATTTTATTGTTTAAATTTATGTGTATGAGTGTATTGCCTCCATGTATGTAAGCACACCCATGTTATGCAATGCTCGAGGAGGTCAGAAGAAGGTGTCAGATGTCCTGGAACTGGAGTTATGAATGGTTGTTAGCTGCCATGTGGGTGCTGCAAATTGAACATGGGCCCTCTGCAAGAGCTGTCAGTGCTCTTAACCTTTGAGCCACCTCTCCAGTCCATTTTAATTTTTTTAAAGGTTTATTTACTTTATGTGTGTGTGTGACTGAGTGTGTATATGTGCACCATGTTCATGCACATGCCTTTAGATGCCAGAAGGTATCAGATTCCCTGAAACTGGTGGTTGTAAACTGCTTGACGCGGTGCTGGGAATTGAACCTGGGTCCTCTGGAAGAGCAGCAAGTAGCAAGTGCTCTTAGCCACTGAGCCATCTCTCCAGCTGCCGTTTTTTTTTTAAATGGCAGTACCTGCTCTTTTTACTTTTGTTGAAAAATACCTCAAACATATCTGAAAGTGACGATTATAACAAGTACTATCAAAACCAAAGTTAGAAAATGTTAGCATTTTACTGCATTTTCTGAAGACTTAAAATCATTATGAATATAGTGAAATTGCTTTGGAAGCCCTGTGTTCCCATTCACCCACCTCCCTCTGCAGAAGTGACTACTTATACTAATTTGCCACATATCTAAGGTGCCTGGGTAATTAAAAGACCAAACTGAAACGCTTCCAAGAAGAAAAGGTTTCTATTCATAATTCTGCCTGGAAAGCAGCCCAGGCTGGGACTGAAGCTCCGTGGTGTGGCTTCTCGACACACAGCTGTGATTGTAAGCGTCTTTCTAAAAAATATTTTATTAATTATTTTTAAAATTTCTTTTTATTGATTTTTTTTTGTATTTCATACAGAATATCTCAAACAATCTTAATCATCTTTATACCCCCATCTCCACTGGCAACCCTCTAATAGCTCCCCACTGGACCCCATATACTCTGTCATCCCTGTTAAGGCCCACTGTGTCAAGTCAGTGTCCCCAGACGTTCCTCAGTATAAGTTCATCTACTGAGGTCTAGTCAGTCACTTTAGGAAGATCAGTTCTTCCTCATCCAGCAGTAATTAGTTGCCAATATTTCTTCAGCTAAGATTGGAGCCTGCTGTCCATTTCCCCAGTTCTATGCTGGATTTTTGTCTGTTTGAGTTTGCATGGGTCCAATGCATGTTGACACCATTGCTGTAGGTTCATATGAGCAGAGTCCCAGGAGCTTGTAAAACTCTATTTCCATATGGTCATGCACCTCCTCCCTGGCTCTCTTCTTTCAGGAAGATCAGCTCTTCTTTACCTAGCAGCAATCAGTTGCCAACATTCCTTTAGATAAGATTGGGGTCTGCTGTTCATTTTCCCAGTTCTATGCTGGGTTATTGTCTGCCTGAGTTTGCATGGGACTTGTGCACGCTGACACCATTGCCATAGAATCATATGAGCAGGTTCCCAGGAGCTTGTAGGACTGTTTCCATATGGTCCTGCACCTCCTCCTTGACTCTTATAATCTTATAATCTTTCCACCCCCTCTTCTGCGATGGTCCCTGAGCCTTGGGTGGGTAAAGTTTAATAAAGGAGTCCTGTCCATGGACCAGCATTCAGCTGACTCTTGATCTCTACACTTTGGCCATTTGTGACCTTTTGTGTTCCTGGCCCTCCGCTGCATGAGGGAGCTTCATTAATGAGAACTGAGAGATTCATCAGTGTCCTCTTCTTTTTATTTTATGTGTATGAGTGTATTGCCTGCATGTATGTAAGCACATCTGTGTCATGCAATGCCTAGAGAGGCCAGAAGAGGGCATCAGATCCCCTGGAACTGGAGTTGTTAGCTGCCATGTGGGTGCTGGGAATCGAACCTGGGCCCTCTGCAAGAGCAGTCAGTGCTCTTAACTGCTGAGCCATCTCTCCAGCCTCTGTAAGTTTCTTTAAAAAAATTTTTTTTTTGATTTTTTTTTTGAGATTGTCTCACTAATATAGCTTTGGCTGGCCTGGAACTCACTATGTAGACCGGGTTAATCTTGAACTCAGAGAGATCTGCCTGCCTCTGCCCCCCCCCCCCCAAGTACTGGGATTAAAGGCATGTGCCACCATACCTGGCTTGATTTATTTTTATTTTATGTATATGAGTGTTTTGCCTGCATGTAAGTGCAGCTTGTCATACAATGCCCACAGAGGCTAGAAGAGGCCATGGATCCTCTGGAACTGGAGTTATGGGTGGTTGTTAGCCACCATGTGGGTGTTCAGAACCAAATCTAGGTCCTTTGCAAGAGCAGCCAGTGCTCTTAACCCCACGCTATCTCTCCAGCTCCTGATGTGAAGTTTCAAATAGCTATAAGGGAGTGGCATATTTCGGGAGGAGCCTCTCCTACATCACATAAGCTTATTATACCTTACTTCAGCTTCTTGGGAGTTGCTGCCTTCAAGGACTAAAGTTTAAGTTTCTCAAGTACATAATCAAAAAATGTAAGAACACACTCTATTCTCAAGAACCTACTAGGCACTGATAACTTAGCTCATCCCTCTAGTACATACCTTATCATCTTCATCAAAGCCAGAGAGATCTGGCCGACTGGAAGAGACCTGGAAGAATTGAACAATATCAATGTGATTCAGGCATTTAAAACTCTTTTGTTCTTTTTTTGAGGTAGGGCTTCACAATGTAGCCCTTGCTGGCCTAGAACTTGCAGGGTCTGCTTACATCTGCTTGCTGAGTACTGGGATTCCAGGAGTACCCTACAGTGTCTATGAATTTTCTTTTTATTTTATAAATGTAATGCAGATACAACTAAAGCCTGCAAGACCTTCCCTTGTTCCTCTTTTCCCTTACCAAGAATAATGACTATTCTCAGTTTGGGGTTAGCGCCATACATATTTATGTAATTACACGTGTAAAGATCCATGAATAATAAATAGTACTACTCTGAGTATTTTATACTTCAAAAATGCTGTCTTACTACACATGGGCTTTTATAGTATAATTTTTTTGGTCCCATTCTCCTACTCATGACTATGTAGGAAGCTTGTAATACTTAAAAAAAAACACCTTTTTTTACATTTATTTTTTTAATAAGTGTGTGTGTGTGTGTGTGTGTGTGTGTGTGTGTGTGTGTATGCATGTGTGCCATAGCATGCGTGTGGATGTCAGGACAACTTTTAGGACTGTTCTCTCCTTTCATCATGTGGGTCCTGGGGACTGAACTCAGGTCATCAGGCTTGGCAGCAAGCTCCCTTACCCACTCAGCATCTTACCAGCCCTGGCTCTTCCTCTTAACAGCCTGTATTGGGCCCGGGTCAAGTGATAGCCATCTGTCTATCCTAACAGAGCGTTCCCGATGTAGGGTGGGGAACGGAGAACTCAGTGTCAAGGTCACCCACTGCTCTGGGCAAGCATCTAAGGCATCCTTTCTTCAGCTTGGTCACTAGGAGGTGACCTCTGGGCTGGAGGCCAGCAGAGGACGTCGGATCTCCTGGAACTGGAGTTACAGACAGTTTTGAGCTGCCATGTGGGTGCTGGGAATCGTACCTGGGTCTGGCTCTGCGAGAGCTCCCACTGCTCTTAACCACTGAGCCACTTCTCCAGCCCTAAAGATATTTTTTAAAACGAACATTTTCTAGGTCTTACAAAAATTCTGGCCATTTCCACATATTCCATACCTCTGTGATTGATGAAATCATTGAAATTCATGTCTTGAAATGTCATATGTGAGATAGAGTCTGACCCGCAGACACCTGTGAGGAGGAGCTTAGCTTCCTCATAGCATCTGGCTTTGGATCCCATACTACCAGCCGGCCATGGAAAGATGAACCTACACCCTAGGTGACTTCTATACTAGCGTTGACTCTGTGGGCCCGATCATCCCTCACCACCCATTCTTTCCCCCAGTGCCTGCTGTGATCTTTGCCTCCTGTCACAGGCTGCCCACAGGCTCTTTTGCCCTCTCACAGCTCAGAGGCTGCAGTTCCACATGCGGCCACATGAGGGTGATGCTAGGGCAGCCAAGGCCTCTGGGCAGGAAGGTGGGGTGTGTCCAGGCTGCTCGCTTCAGGAGGCACACGGGGATAGAATCTGATCCTCAGGAGCCTTAGACAGCTAGTATATACAGGACATTTCTGACCATGATGCAGTAACCTAGGCCCTGGAGGCCCCACCCATAGAAAATGTTAACTCTTTATTTTCTGGATTGTAGTGAGTACAAGAGACCCCAGAAAGGCCCAACTGGTGAAGGCTATTCAGCATAAGCAGCAAAAAGTATTCTAAGGTGCTATTTGGCACAGATTTAAAAAAAAAAAAAAGATTTATTTTTATTTTATATGTATGAGTGTTTTGCCTGCTGGCATGTAAGTGCACCCATGCATGCTTTGCCCACAGTGGCCAGAAGAGGGCATTAGATCCCCTGGAATTGGAGTTACAGATGGTTGTTAGCTGCCATGTGGGTGCTGGGAACTGAACCTGGGTCCTCTGCAAGAGCAGACAGTGCTTTTTCTGTAGCTTTCTTCCTTACTTTTTTGAAATAGGTTTCTCACTGAACCTGGAACTTGCCAGTGTGAGCTAGCCTAGCTGGTCACTAAGCTCCAGGGATCCACCTGTCTCTGCACCAGAGTACTGGGGTTACAGAAGCACACATGATACATACTATTTCACATGGGTGCTGGAGGTCCAAACTCAGCTTCTCATGCTTGTCCAGTAAGCACTTTACCTCCTGAGCCTTCTCTTGAACTCCTTGTTATCTATGCTCATGCTTGTGGTCAGAAGTGATCTGTATGCTAGTGAGTGTGAGTATCTGCTGTGTGGCCCACTGTAAGACAATTGTGAAGTTGGTAATCACTTTCTGGCAATTCTGAAGATCAGGAAGGGAAGGCAACCCAGGCTGTGTCTTTACTGTGCTGTGTCTCGGGGGACAGGGCTTTGAAGGCATCTCTGCACAAAAACTTGTCCTTGCTGCTAGAAGTTGTTTCTGTCAATGGAATTTTCTAGATGAATTGATTAAAAAAGAGAATTCAGCCAGCCATGGTCGAGCAGGATCTTTGACTTATCTTCACATAGGCAGAACTGGTAAAAGAAAGGAACCTGGGGCTCCTCCCAAGCCCATGTGACCCCTGAGGAACAGATCCTCAAACGACCTTAAGAGTAAAAATAAATTGGTTTATCTGAGCCAACTGTATGGCCTTAAACACCCAAAAGGAAAGTATAACCAAAGATTAAAGGGGCCAGTATAATTTCATAAGAGTCCATG